GTAACATGACATTAAAAGATGATATTTGAATCAAAATCTAGGACCAAATGCTTTAGATTCCTTCTCATCACCATCATAAAACCCTTCATTCTGATTTTCTAATATAATCAATTTTTTATCAAATTACCTTAATTTCGATCAAATCTTTAATTTTTGGAATTTCTTGTATCAGTGTTAGAATTTTAATGAGTGTTATAACGAGAATCATGTTTATCGGAATTCATTTGCATCAAATGAAACTTATCTCTATGTAAAATGATCAATATTATTTTGAAATAAATACCTAAATTACGAAGACTGATTGAATTTATTTGCATGACTATCATTGAATTATCCATTAAATTAGTTTTAAAAGGGCATTATTGGATATCTTCCAAAATTACTTTATCGCCTATCACTTTAATAATTATTAGATGGAATGGCTTAGTTTCTATTTTCAAAATAATCATCCTCCTAAAATCTTCTTTATTGCAATTGACTAAAGCTATCTCTATTATGACAAGGAACATATCCAAAACCTCTGTTTTGTTATTATAGTAAATCTCCATAGCTTATACGATTAGGATTTGGTTTAGGTCTATTTCTCAAATGTTCTTTTTTGTAAAATGACCAATCTTTATCTGGAAATTAATCTAAGCCTGCTTCTCTAGAAATCTATTGTATTCTATCTTCAATTTCCTTTTCAGAGATCGGGACTTTTCTATAATTTTCAATTTACTCATTTTATCTAAGTGGAGAAATGTCATAATCCTTGTGCTGGTAATTATCTCTCGAATACTAATAATCCTAATCAAGGGAGAAATTTTTAAAGTCTTTGACTTAATTTTAACCATTAACTTATCTATATCTAGAATCTCTCATCTGATAATCATCATTTTAAATTATTAATCTGCGCGTATGGTAATTATCATCATATCTCTGTCGATGATTCTATCCATCATAATATCTAGCTTATCGATTATCATAATCCTAATTTTAATATTATCTGTTAGATCGATCATAATCTCTATAGTAATCACGATGTTTGTATTGCTAATTCTAATCTTGCTATTGATAATGTCTTTTTTCATCATCAGAATGATTTAAGATACCCTGATCATTTTACAACCTTTTAGAAAGAGGATCAGCCATATCTTTCTCAAGACTGTCATGCAGTGGCTAGTTTTTACTATTTGACGGAGAATCAGTTGATTGATCTTTTTGCATGTCTTTATTTATATCCTTTTTCCCATTCTTTTCTTCATTATTATTTGCCAACTAATTTTCAGTAGGATCCGCAAAGGAGTCATCACTTTATCGATTCCCATTTATATGATTTGATTTTTAATGGTATCTTGCTAAATATTCTTATTAATTTTGATGATTGCTGTGTTTATCGAGACCTTCTCTTGTGCTTTACTGAGATGGTTCAACATCAGTCTCAGTGTCATATTGCTCGTTATTATCATCTATCTTATTCTGCTTTTAATTTCTAACACTTTATTACAGCCTATTGAATTAATAATGTAAGAATTGATTTACTTTACCTCGAATTTATTAGATTTTTATCTTCTTAAGAAGCTTTTTCTAGTTGATTCTCTATAATTTTTGATAGATTGGACAAATTCTTCATGCAATTACTTTACTCATTCTCAATTCCAGCCTCAAACTCACTCTCTATGAAAATTAAAATACAGCAAAATGATACATTATTGTTGGTGGTATTTGGGCTTATTTTAGTTCACTACTGACTATTTCAGGTTTTATTGATTTCTTACAATTAAATCGTTTTCTGGGATTCTATCAACAAACTCTTTAGGATATCTGATATATTATTGAGTTTAATCGTAAATTTATCCAGCCTCTATTTAGCCTGCACCTACTTGATGAGCATGCATACCTTAAATAGGTTAACTATATTAGCTTATTCCTGAAGGTCTGTTGGTTGGATAATTTTGATATTAAATATGACTATTTAATCGTTGATCTTATAAATGGCTAGGGTACTGGCTGTTCCCGTTGTTGCTATTAACATATCTTCGATGAGGAGGTATGTAGCCAGTTCCTTAGGCTTATTGTAAATACTTTTAAGGAGATCTCGACCTAGATCTAGTAAATTTTCTCTTCTAGTCTAACTCATGCTTTTCTCTAAATATCTAGGAAGTGTTAAATTGAATAAAAATTACATCCAATCTAATTTCTCTTTAATGAAGATATCTTCCATTCGCTTAGTCAAGAGCTCTTTATGCTTCATCATGCTAGTAATATTCTACAAATCCAAGTCCTCTGTGCTTTCCTTCTCTATCTCTTGGAACTTCTAAACTGTATACTTTCCCATACTCTTTAAACAACTGATAAAGTTCTTCATTTGTAACTCTGAAGTCAATGTTATGAATGAAAAGCTTCTTAAAAGCATTAGCTGTGTTGCTTTAAGGTATGCTTTGTCCATTTGCTAATCCTGGAATAGTTTTTATATTCTATCCTTCATAATTTCCAAAACTTGACTTGCCAGGAGTCCTGGAATTTTGGAATGGCTTCTGTGGATTAACGGCATTGCTAATTCCTGTACTGCTAAAGGGGGCTTTATCTTAAAACATAGATGTATTAATTATTCAGATTAATATTATTTTAAAAGCAATAATAGTAGTGTAATTAGCTTTATAAAAACTGCCTAATTATTAAAACTCAACAAATAAATTATCTATCTCCCTCAACTTAAAAAATGATTCATAAGGGGTTTTGGGGTTTTGGGG